ATTTCCTAGCAGTGGGAAATAAATACCACCCCCAGGCCTCAATAAAATAGCACTCACACACATAAAAGGCAGAGAAAAACTCTTCAGGGAAAAGAAATACTACTAACTCACCAGCAACAAATTGATGCTTTCATAAGGAATCCAAGGCAAGTAATCCAGCAGCACAAGGAATCAGCCGGCCAACAACAATGCCACAACCAAAGAGAAAAATGATAAGATCATAAAGAACAAGGAGCCAATAACAATGCAATTGATACAATTAATAATATTTTTCATTCTAGCATGACTAGTTAATTTCAAGTTTGATCTTGTAGAATTATTTCCAACTTCTGGACTAATGTAATTTAGCCCTCTGGTTTGAGCCCCATTTTTTGAGAATAGATTTCATAAAAAGTGAATTTTTTTTTTTCCGAAGAATGTGTGGCTAAAAAGTATAGAGAAATTTTGAGTTTACATGCAAACTTATTTTATTGGGAGAATGTGTGGAAGAAAATGAGTTTGGAAAAAATTGAGTTTTAAAGAATGAGGCTCAAACAAGGGCTTCTATAATGAAAGAGAGCTTCATTTATCTCTTTTACCTACTTCTCCAACATAAATGTTTGTGTCAACATAATAGAAGCTATATTTCACCAGTAGAAAAGCTTTTCTTGAAACACATAATATTAACTTTTCCCTTATGTAAACAGTCGAAATGAACTTCAGAGTGGATATTATCTATGTCCCATAAGTGTGTGATACAAATATAAAAATAGATTTCACTTTCATGTTGAACAAACAAAGTAGGATATTAGCTACGTCGAGCTGATTGTTCCAGTTTGAGGAGAGAGTTAGAGACAGACAAAATAATAATTATAGAACTACCTTCCGAATGTCATGGTCCCTGTATAAAATTACACTTGTTCCTTTGGGGGCCAGCCCATACTTGTGTACATCCACAGATATTGAGGTCACTCCTTGAACAGAGAAATCAAATGGTGGTACAGGATACCTATGAGGAGTTAATTATCAGTAGCAAAAACTAAGTAGCAGTTAATTCAGTTCATTTGAGAGCAAGATAGATGAATGGCGACAAATCTTTTCAGATATTTAGCACCAAGACCAACAAGATATCTGCCCTGCTTGATAGTAAAATCAAAACAAAGAATATCAAAAAGAAAATTCACATAAAAGTGATGGTAGCATATAAAACAGGTATTAACTGAACCACCACTACAAAAACAGATTAGTGTCAGTGGTCAACTAAACTTTCAACACCTTATAGGGTGTCCTGACACAGATGTGTGCTTGTTAAAATGGCATGCCTCAGCCTTGCAGTCTACTACTCTGCACTTTGCAACCCCATATGTCAAAACTGATCAAGATCCCTTCACCTTGAAAGTTTATTTCTTTCAGCAATTTGGACAAACGTATCATAATTTGGCACATCAAGTTCTAAAATTATAGTCCGTTATTCATTGATCCAATTTTGTCAATTATAGTTCATTAGTCATTGATCCAATTATTGACAAAATATAAGACCATCGGAAATTATGAGGATTAAAATGTGAAATTATTTCATTCAACACGAGAAAGTCATTTTTCCAGTGATGATTAAGGTAATGCATGAAGTGGCAGGATTCGATTTGCAAATGTTGGCTGTAAAGAGGGCTAATTTTACTGCACAAGATCCATGCTATAATTGTGGGCAGACAGAGACCTGGCTGAGCCCACCAAGTGCTAGCAGTGATGACATGGAAGTATTAACAGTATAAAGTCTCTTTGCAGCACTGAAGGGTACTGAATTGAGAAACATTTTGGGATTAGAAAGATGCTGATGCAACATGGAAAGTATATTCTAGGCGTAAAGGAGATTAGATCAGCTAGGATTTGATAGTATTTTCCATTACTACATTTTATTGTGTTTGGAAGGCAATTGAGAAAACGTTACTTTTCCTTGTTAATTTTAGTTTAGACTCTTTAACAGCAATAGACACAACTTTTATCATTGAGATACAAAAAACTCCCTCTAAATTCTCTTCTTCTTTAATTATCCTTTGTTAACTTGCTTACATTCGTCATCAGATGTACTTCCAGAAACTATAAGATAGAACCTTCTAATACATGATATCAAGTGTATAGCTTAATATATCATTTACGAATTAATATGCCACCCTGAACCAATAACCATTGTATGAAGATCATGGGTACAAACCATTCAAATTACACAACATATATTTGTCATTATGGAAAGGTAGCAATAAAGCAAAATTCTATAAATACCAAAAGCATGCATTCTTATAAATAGAAGTGCTATAAAAGGATTTGCATTTAAACAAGATAAATTCTGCTCCAGATTATCCTGAAGCATTGAAGCACATCTAGGAGATGCAACCATAACCAGTCAACACAATTAGAGTCAGACTCACCCAAGCTTCCTGGCGAAAGGTAATACGAATCCACCAAGACAGAGATCAACATGAAAGCAAATACTTAAAGTAGTTGCTAATTCACCAAGCTCCTACAAGAGAAATTCGCATATTTACATTTGCCCAAAAAATAATAATAATAAATAATAAAAAAAATAAAAATAGATGAGTGGCTCAAGAATGAAAAATAGGAAGTTAGCGTCACGTGCCTCAATTGGGTCAATGATCCCATGTGGGAAGCCAGGTGCTGATCCAACAATCTATAAAACATGGTTTATAAGTTAATATTAGCGAACAGACAAACATAAATGTGATTTTGGTAAACACATTTAAAGTAACACTAGAATGAAGGGAAGCAAATGTTTTCATTCTTTCTCGTGAGACATTCAAAATGCAGTACTAGATTTATTTTGTTTGGAGGGTGCAATTCTCTATATATTTTGGGAAGGGGAAAAGTCATGCTTTCCCTTGGACTCTCACTACTATATTTCAGTGGAAGCTAATATGGTTACTGAAAAAATGAAAAGACACAAAATAATACAAGAATGTTAAAACATGAATGTTTATTTGAATTCGGATGCACAATAGTTGAGTAAAAGGAAATTGATGTTGCCATGGAAAATTCCATACATCATAAAATGAAATCCAGAACTTCTGTGCAGAATGTGCTCCAACAAACCAAATGTCATATGAAAAGAGAACCAGATAAAGAAATCTTACCAATATAGTATTCCTGTTGATATGCCTTTTAATAGCTTTAACATCAGCTCGAAAATCTTTGTTTGCAGGAACCCGACACAATTTAATGTTAAAGTAATGGGCCGCCTTGTCATATGCTGAGTGAGCAGAAGCCGGTATTATCCTAGTTTTGGGAAGATAAATAAGTTTTATATAGATAGAGATTAGAATAGAATAAGAAAAAATATTGGCAAATTTACATACATTTCTGGTCTAGTGATCCCCTTCTTAGCTTTCATATAGTCACGTGAGGCTTTCACAGCCAACACTATACTTTCTGTTCCTCCTGATGTCATATTTCCACAAATTTGACCTCCTGAAGTCTTTTCCTTACTTCCAAGTAGTGCAGCTGTCATTGCAACAACTTCTGCTTCAAATCTTACAACACTCTGGAATACATCCAGATGCAGAGGATTGGTATGTGCAAACCTGATAAAAGATCATAATCTAGTAAGAAAACAGATTCTGAATTTGAAGCAAGTTGACGTTGTCACATTATGATAAATACCTGAGAGGTACTGAAAATAGAGAAATTGTATTAATTATCAGTTACGCATAAAGGTAAGGAGTATATTACATAGTTTAGAATAAGAAGTAGAAAATGATTTTTCCACTATTCTCAATCATCGACATAATCATTACAGAGCAACTGAAGTTGTTTGGAAAAAAAAAATTACAGGTTTATCTTACTAACATTGAGCATGCCTCATTTATCAAAGAAAAGTGCCCTTCATATTCGTTCCCTCCAATGTAGCTGCACAGAACATATGAACTTCGTAACTTGTGAAGATTCAGCATTTGAGGATTTTCTCTGAGTATAAAAGTTGATCTTAGAGTCATAACTGAAAACGTACACTGTACCAGAACATTTGCCCTGCCACGTCGCATCTTTTTGTTTCTCTTCTTTCATTTTCTCAATGACCATCGCTCTTAAACCTGCACTAGGCAACTCAGTCCTCCAGCCATCTCTTTTAGATTTTCCAGAAGCTTGTAACTTAGTCACGACCTATGCACACAGAAAATCAGCATATCAGCCAAAGAAGCTGATATTTATTAAATTGAATTTCAAAAATCAGAAAAGCAAATTAAAGTGAAAGACCAGGACGAGATAGATATAATGTAGTCTTAGAATAATTCTTGCACTATCACATTTGGCATCTCCTTCCTCTGTTCCATCACCAATAACCATACAAGGTCACACATATATCACAGTAACATAACTTTTAATTTCAGTCAAAATTCAAACTAGCATTAAGCAAGACCACAACTTCAAGAGGATAGGCCAAAATATACTCAGCATCAATGAGCACAGAACAGAAGCATACTTGGTAAACACACACACATTAAACTGGTTCCAGACAAATTATTGCAGGAAACCATTTATTAGCCC